TTCTATTCTATTCTATTCTATTCTATTCTATTCTATTCTATTCTATTATCTCAGAGTAAAGTGGATGAGAAAAATCCAGTTCTCCCTACTAAAAACTCAGATAAAAACCAGAAAAGATTAATGAAACACAGATAGGCAAGAAAACAGAGCATGTTAGCCAATAACATTGATAACTTTACTTGGGTGGTTCTTTTAAGGTGACCATACGGCACTTCTTTAAACAGATAACAGATTAACAGAGTTGGAAGGGACCTTGTAGGTCATCTAGTCCAGTGGTTCTTAACCTGGGTGATATTGCCCCCCCCAGGGAGCAATTTCATTTTTCAGGGGGGCGATGGAACGAAAAGGGGCGACACGGGGGCAAAGGAATGGAAGGGGGGCAATATGGGGGCGATGGAGCGACAAGTTTTGGGGACACTTTTGAGACTTTTTTCTTACAGTGAACCACTGTATATCTGTCGTACAAATCGCTCGCTATTAGTGGATTGAACTGTGTTTTAAGATGTTCCTCTAGCTAGCTTCAGTACAGAACGCTGTACATATGTGAATATGCATCGCTCATCTTCATGCGTGTTGCACAGCAGCCTCTATCACTCCACCCATACAGTGGCGCGCCATTGGCCAGAATGGGCAGTGATGGAGGGGTGAGCGCTTCTTTCGAAACATTGCATGCTGAGTGGCTGTCCCCTGTGATGTCAATGTAACTGTTGAAACTAGGTTTGTCGACGTCCACGTGTGTTTTATTGTTTTCCAGTGCAGTCGAAAATTTAATTTGCAGTTAGTGCCTTTCATTTCGAAGACCTCTCAACATGGTCAAGAAGAGGAAGTGTCGCCAATATTCGACGGAATACCTAAAATTGGGATTCATTCCATCTCCTTCCAACGTACAGCTTCCGTTTTTCTTCTTTGTGAGAAAACATTTTCAAATGAAGTGATGAAGCCTTCCCAACTGAAATACCATTTGGTAAGAATTCATTCGGATAAAGCCAACAAACTGGTATTGTTTTTCCAATCCTTAAAGACCAAGTTTGAGGGTCGCAGCACTGTTGAGAAGTTATTTGGAAAATCATCACTCAACGCCGACAAGGGGCTCATTTGTTCCTATGAAGTATCTTTGTTGATAGCAAAATGTGGCAAACCTCACACTATCGGAGAAACGCTGATTTTACCAGCAGTGAAACAGATTGTTGCCACCATGTTGGGGCCCAGTGCAAGCACTGTCACGCAATCGATTCCTTTGAGCAATGACATCATATCAAAAAGAATTGATGAAATGGCTGCTGATGTGGAAGAAAGGCTTATTGACACCTTGAAAAGTACAGAATTCGTGATGCAGATTGATGAGTCAACGATTCGTGAAAATGAAGCCTTGTTATTGGCTTATGTCCGTTTCATCAATGGAAATGAAGAGATCGGGGAAGAACTGTTATTTGCTCGAAATTTAGCCACTGACACAAAAGGTTCTTCGATATTTAAAAAGGTTGAAGAGTTTTTTAATGAGAAAAACACCCCTTTGACAAACATCGTGGCACGTGCAACAGATGGAGCTGCATCCATGGCTGGACAATATTGTGGATTTCAAGCTCATCTAAAATCGGTTGTACCTGGAGTTATGACTGTCCATTGCATCGTTCATAGACAGCACCTTGTCTCAAAAAATTTGAGTGGCCATTTGCACGAGTCTATACATTACGTCATTAACGCTGTGAATAAAATTAAGTCAAATGCCTTGAACAACCGACTTTTTCACAAGCTTTGTGAAGAAAATGATGAGGAGTTTGAATGTCTCCTTTTGCACACCGAAGTAAGATGGCTTTCAAAAGGAAAGTGTTTGTGGTGATTCCACAAAGTTTTTGACACAGTTGTCGAATTTCTTGAATCCATTGATCCAAGTCTAAGAAGTTCTCTTAAACTTTGATGTCTGGATGTAGCTTATCTCGCTGATGTTTTTGACAAGCTGAATGAAGTGAACGTAAAGCTGCAAGGAGATAAAACCAATTTTCTTAAGGCCAAAGGAGTAATCTGCTTATTTATTTCCAAATTGGACCTCCTTGCAAGCAACATGAGTCGCCAGGAGCTGTATCAGTTCCCAAACCTTGGTAATGAACGTCAACTCCAAACAGAAGATTTGGACGTTTTTTGCTGCCACTTGAAGCAACTAAAAGAAGATATGGAAACCAGATTCTATGATCTGATAAATCTGGAAGTGCCCACTTGGGTGCTAAATCCTTTCACAGCAGACTTTGCACAACCTCAACCCAAACTGCAAGAGCCACTGACAGATCTGAAATACGACTGTGAAGCCCAATCACATTTTGGCTACGAAGCTTTTTGGGTGAAAATGAGGAACACTTACCCAATATTGTGGGAGGAAGTTAAGTTGCTTCTTTTAGCCTTTCCTTCCACTTACTTAGTGGAGAGGGGCTTCAGAGCTGTCCAACAGATCCTTTCTAAGTCAAGGAACATGTTGAAGATCACTGAGCACGGTGATTTAAAAATGAGATTAACAAAAATGGTTCCAGACATCAAGAAATGGGCATCAGCTCGCCAAGCAGAAGGCAGCCACTGATGTTCTTTTTTTTGCTTTTTGTGTACATACATTTTCTTCGTTAATGATTGTCTCAGCTCTTTTCGTTGTGTTTGCTTGCATTGGATTTCACGTTCCAGTTTGAGTTTTCGGCTTCGTTTTTGAATTCTTCTTGTGCTCTGTAAAACATTTTGTGTGTCTCTTTGTATTGTACTTTTTTAGCGTGCACTCCAGTTTGATATTATATTTTGGTTTCTTGGTTTTATGGTTTCAATTTTTGTTGTTGTGCTCTTCGTGTAAACTTTTTGTGTAGATATATATATTTTTCTTCAGTTTAAGCATTAAATTTGTCGCTCTGATTTTTGTTGCTTTCCTTCTGTAAGAATTTTCTTTGTGTCTTTTTAACCTTTTTTACAGTGTGCATAAATATATATTTTCCTCAAATCTTAACTTAGTTTTCTTCTTGAAATTCTTAGTTCCTGCATTGCGGTTTGTTCTTATGCCCTTTTTATATTTCTTTTTGCGTCTTAAGATTCACTTGTAATTAAATCATTAAATGTTACTGTTTTGGGGGGGCATTTCATTTTCTTGCAGTTGAATTTTGTTTTCAGTGGTCATTGCATTTAAGTGTCTTGAATAAATAAGATAATAATGAAATACATGTATCATGAAGTTTGGGAGTAAAGTGATGGGTGGCATCAGAATTTTTCACACAGTTGAGATATGGGAAAAAGACTGGAAATAAATTATTTGCGTCAATATGTCCTGATGACAATTTTAAAGAAAACAAAAAACGTGCTTGCATAAATTGAAGAATTATTTCCCTGTGTTGTGATTGAGAGGTTATGTTGGGGGAGGGGGGCGATGATAACTTCCTCAATGGTTCAAGGGGGTGATTCTTTCAAAAAGGTTAAGAACAACTGATCTAGTCCAACCCACCGCCCAAGCAGGAGACCCTACACCATTTCTGACAGATGGGAGTCCAATCTCTTCTTGAAAGTCTCAAGTGATGAAGCTCCCACAACTTCTGAAGGCAACTTCTGTTCCACTGGTTGATTGTTCTCACTGTCAGAAAGTTTCTCCTTATTTCCAGGTTAAATCTCTCCTTGCTCAATTTCCATCCATTGTTCCTTGTCTGGCCTTTGGGTGCTTTAGAGCAGGGCTCGCCAACCTTTTGGATCTCAGGGACCACCAAAGTCATAATTTTAAATCCCA